TCCCAAAAGGTTAGATACCATATGTTTGCCTTAATTTAACTTGTAATTTTTTTTCTTCTTCTTGAACCGATAATTAATACTGTCTCAACCCATGTGTTTTGGGTTGAAAAATTGTAAAACCTACTATACTTTGAAAACATTGTGCTACACCCCTAATGTAACTGTTATGCACCTCAATTGTTGAAATGTCAATGGAGTAGTCACAGGATGTGGTTAAGAACTAGCATTATTTTTAATGGATTGTTTACTCAATATTGCATCAATTAATACCATAACATTGTATATTGTTGCTGATGATATGTTGGGGCTTTTGATTGATTGGGTTTTTACTCTGTTGGCTCTACCTCAGACTAGAGAAGGTCTCCCCCAAAAGCTGTTGAACTTATCTGGACAATAAGATGCTGGACTCTATGCTTGGTATATACTTGCAATGAAGGAATCTCAACTGAACTTGAGCTGTGGTCATGCAAGAAGGTGCAGGAATCCACCATGGGAGGAGGGTTATGAGTGGGGTGGTGGGAATCCCAGTACCTATAAAACTGTGTCACATAATACAATGTTAGTAAAATAAATAAATAAATAAATATTAAAAAACAAGAATTTTACTCACTCCAGCTTTCTATAGGCTACTATTTGAATATATACCCATTTATTTTGTTCATAAAATGTTCACTATTAAAATATTAAATATTAATAAAATATTTACTAAAGTATATATAACAATATAATGAATATCATGTAATTATGTAATTGGACAACTAATTTTTTCTTTTAAATCTGTTTATATTATTGGAAAGTCAGATATACAGAGAGGAGGAGAGACAGAGAGGAGGATCTTCTGTCTGTTGATTCACTCCCTAAGTGACTGCAACAGCCAGAGCTAAGCTGATCTGAAGCCTGGTGCCTGGAACTTCTTCTGGGTTTCCAACACAGATGTAGGTTCCCAAGGCTTTGGGCTGTCCTTGATTGCTATCCCAGGGCACAAGGATGGAGCTGGATGGGAAGTGGGGCTGCTGGGATATGAATCAGCGTCCATATGATACCTCGGCAAATAGAAGGTGAGGATTTAGCCACTAGGCTATCACACCAGGCCCCGAGTATCCAGTTTTCTTAACAGCAAACACATTTGCTTTTGTCATTATTTTTATTTCTCTAGATACCAATTTGATTTAAATAAGATAATTGATAATTAATAACTTATGACACTTTTCATCTCTGATACAATCACTCATAGGTTATGAATGTTTTATTTGTCTTATAACTTCAGCTTATTGAACATACACATTTAAAATTGTCGTGTATGGGCCAGTATGGTGGCCTAGCAGCTAAATCCTCTCTTTGAACACGTCAGGATCCCATATGGGTGCTGGTTCTAATCCTAGTGGCCCCACTTTCCCATCTAGCTTCCTGCTTGTGGTCTGGGAAAGCAGTCAAGGACAGCCCAAACCTTGGGATTCTGCTCTCATGCAGGAAACCTGGAGGAGGTTCCTGGCTCCTGGCTTTGGATCAGTGCAACTCAGGCTATTGCGGCCACTGGGGGAGTGAATAAGTAAATGGAAGATCTTCCTCCTCTTTTAATATCTGGCTTTCCAGTTTAAAAAAAAACTATCAAATAGATTGTAAACATAATGATGAAAACGGACATAATGATGAAATTTGGCTGTTAAAAAAAAATGAAATTACCGTGTCTGAGTCCAGATCTGTTGATTTTTAGTTTATTGATGGTGTGTTATTTATCTTTTCTTTTGTGTGCTGAATAAATTTTGGTTAAAATGTTAGCATGTTCAGAAAAATAATATAGATAAGATGAATAACATTTCATGTGATTTTGTTCTTTGTTCGGAATTGGGTATGCCTCTTTTGCTCTATCTGCAGTGTGAGGGCTTGGGTTAATCTAGATAAAAGTTAACTTGGTTTGTGCTTTTCTGTGTCATTACTTCTTGTAGGGTGGGCTGTGCTCCAAGGGGATGGTCATCATCTGCTTGTACTTCTTCAGCAGTGGACTGCTCTTGGACTTGATGTTACTGCCTGTCTAGGGGACTGAGTAAGAGCATCATCTTTGTTCTAGCTGTATCATCCTTATGCATATGGCTTTTTTTAAAAAAAACTTTCTGAGGTTGGTATATAAGTGTTCCTGTCCTTATTCCAACAGTTTAAGGACTGTTTTTTCTTACCTTCAGTGGTTATGTATCTGTGTCTTAGGGCCCATGGAGCTTTCTACATCCTCTGTCCCTACCAGCATGTCGATTGGTTCCTGATAGGTGCTTTGTGACTCATCAGTGTGTGTGTGTCCATGTAAGTCCACATGTCTCAATGTTCCTATGGATCTTTTCTAATAATGAAGGCATGGTAGTATTGTATACTGTTGCACAAGGCAATCATTGTGCATTTCAAAACAGTAAATACAGGAATTAGTGATGAGTCACAAGTGTGAATATGGGGGGGGTGAGATGGGAGATGAGATAGGAAAAGAGAATTTATAAGAGAATAGTTCACAAAGGTAAATTAGGGTCAATGCTATGACAGTAGGCTTAGCAGCTGCCTGGGAAGCTTGCTTCCAAATGAGTGTCAGTTTGAGACGGCTCCATTTCCAATTTAGCTCCCTGCTAATTTGGTTGGGAAGCAGCATTAGAAGAGCTGAGTAAGAGACTAGGACTGAGTTTCTGGCTCCTGATTTTGGTCCAGCCTAGTCCCAGCTGTAGGAAAATCTCCAGTCATATAACATCTACTCTTTATCTCTTTGTAACTATGCCTTTCAAATAAATAGAGATCACTTCTAAACTGAAAGGATGAGATAAATTCTGCATGATCACAATGAATGTAGACGTGAGCAGATTAGGTAATGTATGGGAAATGCCGGAGCCCAGCTCCAGCTGAGTTCGGAGCTCGAGAAGGGTGTGTGAAATAGGCATAGAAAGAAGAGAGACGGACCACTACAATTCCAAGATTGTTGTGGACCATGCGAGAAAGCTGTCCGCTTTATTTATACAGAAGCAGTACACAGTTTTCTTTCAAGGCATTTTGACATAGCTTCAAGGGGGGCACAATTTATAACAGCTAGAGAGGTGAGTGAGGGAGCATCCCACATTCCTTGCTTATCTCAGCTTGCCAGCCCCCACCTACTCTCCTCAAGTCTGGGTCCCATCCTTGGCGCCGCCGGTGACAACCAGACCGCTACCTTGAATTACGTCTGGATTAAAAGGTCTGGGGCCTTGTTTTATGGGGATTGGGGTCATTGACACCAAAGGTCATTGGGCCTGCAAGCTCACACAGTTCGTTAACTAAGCCAGAGTTATGACGGCGGAAAGAATTGTGATTAGCAATGAGCCATGTTTGCTCCATTTAAGTTTCAACTCTACAACGGGCAAGTAAATGTTTCCAAAGATAATTCTACAAATAGTTTCACCTTAAGACAGGGCATTATCCATTCTGATGTTGCAGCCAAAATTTTCTCAGTAGACAACACATCTTATTCAGTAATACATTCCTACTACAGTTCTTATTCTACAACTTATCCGTCACTTAATGAGAGAAATATATCAAAAGAGAAAAAACATAAAGATTTAAGACAAAAAGTTTCAAACATTAAATCCTTCTATAACTGCAGGTTCTACAACCTCATAAATGATCAAACAATAATCAAAAGTATATATGGTATTTAGTAAAGTCACCCTATAATTCCTCTAGTTAAAAATTATTAAGGTTGGGCCCGGCACAGTGGCGCAGTGGTTAAGGTCCTCGCCTTGCATGCCCGGGATCCCATATGGGTGCCGGTTCTATCCTGGCAGCCCCGCTTCCCTTCCAGTTCCCTGCCTGTGGCCTGGGAAAGCAGTTGAGGACGGCCCAAGGCTTTGGGACCCTGCACCCGCGTGGGAGACCCGGAAGAGGCTCCTGGCTTCGGATCGGCATAGCATGGGTCGTTGCGCTCACTTGAGGAGTGAATCATTGGACGGAAGATCTTCCTCTCTGTCTCTGCTCTCGGTATACCAGCCTTTCCAATAAAAAAATAATAAAAATAAATCTTTAAAAAAAATTATGAAGGCAGCTAAAGCAACTACATTTACTATGTTCTAAAGAGTTGCAAGGACAGGCTAACCTTTAAGGTCACAGTAACTATATTTTTGCCATAGCCGGATAGCCTTTAGGGTCACAGTAACTATAACAGGATAGCCTTTAGGGTCCCAGTAACAGGATAGCTTTTAGGGTCCCAGTAGCTATATTTTTTGTCATAGCAGTTTCAGCCCATACTCCCATCACTTCCGTTAGTTTGTAAAATTCTTATCAAGCCATTTCCCAGAAAGCATGCTAAATGTCTGGGCCAGATTTCATGGCAATGGGTAGGCACACAATAAGGTGTCTAGAAACAACATGGGCTTAATTGTACTCCTGTGTGCAGTTAAAGGCCCACTCACCAAGACATTATCGATAACATTAACTTTTAAGCTCATGTTGGTTGTAAAAGCCATCTCACAGGGGCAAACAATGCCTCAATAGATTACAAAGTTTTTAGTGGGGTGGTTGAGTGTCCACGCGAAAGGGGATGAAAGTGCATAAAGGTGGTCAGAGAGAAATCTGCTGGGCCCTGCCAAACAGCTGGAAGCTTCCCCGGGCCCTGCCAAGCAGGGGAGCTGTTCTCTTCACACCTTTGTGTTATTCACACCCACTGCACGGACCCCAGCAGGGAAATCCATTTAATTTTACACATTTATTGTATGAAAGACAAAAAAAAGTGTCCCTAGTGGTTACATGTGACATATGACTTGTTCCAAAGCTGGTGAAATATGGGGCTTATGATAGTCTGGAAATTGGTGACAAGGAGAGAAGCTTGAGACCAACGAACAAAGAGCCAGAGAAATATACTCCTTGTCACAGGTGCAGATGTTTGCCTGCTGATTGGACAAGGAGGTCAGAAGAGAGATATTGTGGGGTTGGTTTGTTCAGAAGAGAAATCAAAGACCTTTTTTTTTTTTTTTGAGAAAGAAATAACATCTGCAGATGAAATGCTGCACCTCCTTGTATTACTAGCTGCTGTTTTTCCAGGCAGAAATAACGAAGTTGGTAAGAATTCTGGTGACTTCCCAGGTGGGGCAAAGAGGTTTGTTGTGCATGTTTGTTTGTAGAGTCAGTATGGTGGTTTTCCCACTGTGTTCCTGGATTCTGCAAGATCCAGGTGAGTTTCCTTCTAAAGTATCTTGTCTGTAGATGCTGGACTACTCTCAGGGGAATTGATAAATCAGGGTGTCCTGAGGCAGACACCATCTGATGAGATCATTTTTAATGATGCCTTTTCTTTTCTCTACATTCACAAATCCTGCTGGCACCTGTCTTTCTCAATTCTCTCTCCTTCCTAATGACTTCTCTCTTTTTTCAAGATTTATTTATTTTTATTGGAAAGGCAAATCAGATGTTTTCTCTAATTCACGCCTGTTCTTTTGCCACAGGTTTTGAGGAACCTGTCTCCTTCCAATTCATTCAAATCTCATCATTTTACAACCGTTCCTGGGAACAGAATCTGGGCTCAGGTTGGTTGGGTGAGTGGGAGACCCATCGCTGGGAGAGCAACTCTGGCTCTATAGTTTTCCTGCGGCCTTGGTCCAGGGGCAACTTCAGCAAAGAGGAGTTTATGGACCTGGAAGTATTCCTCCGTTCACACCTCAGCAGGTTTACCAGGGAGAGTCACAAGCATGCCAATCGATTGGATTTTGAGTGTGAGTTCCATTCCCTCAGTGGGTGCAAGTGTCTCGGTGATTTGGTTCTTCCTTTAGGAAATTGGGGCTCCCTTTTCTGAATCTTACTCCACCTGTTCTGGAATAAAACTGAAATCAAATATTTTTGGACTTTTTTTTCAGATACAGATTTGTCTAGTTTGTCAAATTCTCTGCTACGTATGACCTCCCCTTAGAAATGTCCTATGTCCACCTTTTCCCCAACGACTAGCCAGATGCCCCCAATTTCCTAAGTTTTCAATGACTCTATAAGGTGTGATTTTTTTGCCAACCAATCTCTGTCTCTGCCTATGCATTAATTATAACCCACAGCACCCCTAGTCTGCCATCATTTCATCCTGCTCATATTCAGTGATCTTTTATTCACATTCTCACATCATTTGCTTTGAACAATTTCTCCCACTGGTCACATCATTTTCGTCTTCCTTCACCTTCTACTTCTAGCAATTCTCTTTTATCTGCACCACAGGTCCAAACCAAACCTCACCCCATTTCCTCAGCCTCACAAGCACCTCCCTTCTGCATCTATGTCCTTTCTTCTGCTGCTTCTATGTTCATGTTTGTTTTTCCTGCTTTCAACCAAATCACAGCTCCTTTGTCCCAGATCCCTTTGTGCTGCAGGTGGTGGCAGGCTGTGAGCTGCACTCTGGATGGGATTCAGCAGGTTTCTTACGTGAAGCTTATCAAGGGTCAGATTTCCTGGCCTTCCAGAACAATTCATGGTTGCCATCTCCACGGGGTGGAAGTAGAGCCCAGTACATCTGCAGATTGCTCAATTTGTATGACAGTATCAAGAAAACGGTGCTCAGGCATCTCAGTGACACCTGTCCACGTCTCACCCTGGGACTTCTTGATGCAGGCAAGGCTGACCTGCACCGGCAAGGTCAGTTGTGCATTCCCCTGGCTGAACTTTCTAAAACCAAGCTTTTTCATAATTTCCTCCAAATCTAGGATAAGAAAGGGTTCCCAGAACTGTGAAAGAGATGTCTATCTTGACTGATGGGGAATTTGGACCTTTATGGATGTTAGTGTTCTAATATCTAAAGACCTTCCTGTCTTTTACAGTAAGGCCTGAGGTCTTGCTGTCCATGGGGCCCAGTCTTGGGCCTGGACATCTGCTGCTGGTGTGCCGTGTCTTTGGTTTCTATCCAAAGCCTGTGCGGGCAATGTGGATGCGGGATAACCAGGAACTGGTGGACAGTCAACAAGGAGATGTCCTTCCCAATGCTGATGGAACATGGTATCTTCGAGTAACCCTGCATGTAGCAGCTGAAGAGTTGTCTGGCTTCTCTTGTTGGGTGAACCACAGCAGTTTGGAAGGCCAAGACATTATTCTCTACTGGGGTAAGAAAGAATTAAATTCCAGGCTAGAAATGGGAGGAGGTGGTTTTCAAATTCAGCAGGAGGAGATTTTGTGGAATTTAGGAATTTTTGAATACAAATAGGTAATCTGAGGAGTAGAAGGCAAAATGAGAGTCATTTGGAATACCAGTCCTAGTTCTGGCCTCTCTATTTCTGACCTGGCTTTCAGCTACTGGATTAGGGAAGGCAGTGGGTGGTCGGACCCAATGCTTTTGCCCCTGCCACTCATTGGTGAGACCTGGATGGAGTTCCTTGTTTCTGACTATGATATGACCCAGTTCTGGTTGTTGCAGGCATTTGAGGAATGAGTCAACAAAAGGACGATCTTCTCTATCTTCCCCTGCCCTCTGTTTCTGTCTTTCTCTTTGTTTTTTGAATAAGTAAACATAAAAACCCAAAGAAAAAGAAGGGAAAACGAGGGTAGATGCATGAGGTTGTCCGGGGTTAGGTGAACTATCCCCAGGGAAGAGGGATGAGATAAAAAATGAGAAGAAAGATTGGTGATGGAGACTGTCAGCTGAACAACATCCAGGGGAATACAACAAAGCAAGATGGCTGTGCAGTAACATCCCTGATTTTCACCCCGATCCACAGAGCACCACAACTCTATCAGCTCCCCTCTCCTGGCATTGTTAGTGCTGCTGGCTCTTCTGATGGGTCTCATGTTTTGGATTAGGAAGCATCGGTGAGTTCTTTGTAACCATCTCTTCTACTTTCTCCGTTTCCTCACTCAGCTTTATCTTTTTAAGAGCTCTCTCCTCAGTTCTTTCCTCCTTTCAAGGTCCCTTCTCTTACACTCAAGCCTCATCTGTGCCTGGTGAGCAGTGGCAGCCATCTTTGCGTTCAGTACTTCATTTCAGGACACACCATGGCCCTTCATGAACTTCTCTTTCTTTGAATGAGAACCCAGCAGTCCAGCGGCTCAGGATACGTCTGAGCACAGTGTGGTGACGATGTCCTCCACTTTTGTTAATCAAGCTTTTGCTGTTGATTTCTGTCTAGTTGTCAGTTGTCGGTATCAGAGAGTTGCAGTGTTTCAAGATTTGTTGGTCTATCCTGCATTCTGAGATTTTAAAATTCAAGTTTTACTTTTCACTTGAAATTCAGGTTTCACTCCTGCTCAGTTACTCATTGGATCAATTTCATATGTGGCTTCCTGTAAAACGCTTTTGCTGATTCTCCCACGGGAAACAGCCTTTCCCTGTTCTGAATTCTTGCTGTATCTCTGCTGTGCTTTGCTATCTCTGTTCTTTCTCTCTTCTTCTTTTTTTAATCTTGACAGGCATTTAAGTAACTTTTGCCTCCCAATTTTCAGCTCCCCAAGACCTGAGTACATATTTTAAAACATCTTAATTTTAGTTTTTTAAACAAATTCAGTGAGTTTTGCATATACAATTTTACCAACTTAATGATGATTACTTCATTCCCTTTCTGCTATTTCTCTCTTGACCGCCTTCTCTCTCCTTTTATTTCTGTCTGTTTCATTTTTTTTCAGCTAACATATTTTGAATTTACATTACAGTAAAAAGACTTAATGCTTCACTGAATAAGTTTATCAACAACGACAACAAAACCAGCTTGTCTACTTGGAATAGTGCCAATGATTACAGATACTTCGATGGAAAAATAATCAATACACCTGAGTGCGGCACATTTTAAACTAATAACATATCATTAAAACCATGGTAGAATGGGCCCGGCGCGGTGGCGCAGTGGTTAAGGTCCTCGCCTTGCACGCCCAGGATCCCATATGGGCGCCGGTTCTAGCCCGGTGGCCCCGCTTCCCTTCCAGCTCCCTGTCTGTGGCCCGGGAAAGCAGTCAAGGATGGCCCAAGGCTTTGGGACACTGCACTCGCGTGGGAGACCCGGAAGAGGCTCCTGGCTTCGGATTGGCATAGCATTGGCCGTTGTGCTCACTTGGGGAATGAATCATCGGACGGAAGATCTTCCTCTCTGTCTCTCCTCTCGGTATATCTGCCTTTCCAATGAAAAAAAATAATAAAAATAAATCTTTTAAAAAAAAAACCATGGTAGTACGACATTCTTAACCACTGGCTTGACAAAAATGTAGAACAAGACTTTCCATAACTACAGTGACAGCTGTACCGATAGAGATTATTTTTGGAATTTATTTTTAGTTCCCACATATGAAGGAGAACATTCAGTATTTGTCTTTCTGGTTTCAACTTATTTCATTCAACATGATATCCTTTGGTAGTGTTCATTTTGCTACACATGGTAGAATTTCATTCCTTTTTTAAAAAGCTTACTAATATTACATTGTGTATATATTTCACTTTTTAAAAATCTATTCGTCTGATGATGGACATCTTGGTTGATTGTGAATTCTGGCTATTTTGGACAGTGCTGCTTTAAAATGGTGGTTTAGGTATCTCTTTGATACCAAAGGTCATATTTTTAAAAACATGTTTCTCCCTGAATACATGTATTGTCTTCATGGCACATTTTGTCAATAAAAGTCTCTGTTGAGTATATGGCAGCTCTGGCGTCCTTTCTGTTCTCTGTTGACCACTGTGTAATTGCTGAGACGGTCGATGCTCCTCACGTGGCCTGGAGACTTTACAGTTTCCTGGTTGTATAATTTTTTCTCTGAATTTAGAAGAAACACAAAGTTGACTCTTTCTCTCGATATTCAATATGTACTGAATAGAACAGGACTATTGCTACAAATATTGCAAACATAACAAACAAGGCCAATTGTTGCCCTGTTGGAGTCATTCAGGCCCTCCTCACTTGAGTGAGAAGGAGCTGAGGTCCAGCAGCAGCATCATTGCACCGGAGCTTGTTGGAAATGTAGAACAGGTGCCTGACCTGAGGCTCACTGGATTGTAGTGTTCGTTTCAGTGACATCAGTAGGAGATTCAGATATACGTTAAAAAAATTGGGCAGTATTGGCACAGGTGTTGCCTGAAATGTGGTACAATTGTAGCACTAAAGAGAAAAATGGCAAAAAAAAAAAAAAAAAAGGAGCAGTCTTATGTTACTGTTCAGAGCAGAAATGGGGTCAAGGCAAGAGCTCTGGGTCAGGTGCCTTCATGTTGCTTGTGGCAGTTATGCTCTGAAAAGTCGCCGTGACCACCGAACTAGAGAACGCTGAGTCATGACTTCTAGGAACAAAGCAGGGTAGGTCCTCGTGAGCTTCCACTGAGAACTGTTTTAAAGTGATAAAAAGATAATTTGGTGCTTTTTAATTTTCTTTAAAAATATTTTGAGATAACATGTTTAAGCCTATATTATCGTCAAAGGTTTAATGCTCCACCAAATAAACAGTTAGAAAAATAAAAAGTTCAGCAAGAATACAGGCAAGGGTCATAAACAACAATCAAATAAAAAATGTGCATTTTTCTTACAAACACTAGATTCTTAAATAGTCAAAGATTTGAAACTATAGTCTTATTCTCATTCTTAATGTGTTTGAAATATATTTAGAACAAAGCTTGACAAAATATATTTTTCAGGAGGACTGATACACAGTCTGCTCCCAGACCTTTCCCCTCAAGTGCAAGTTGCTGTTATGGCTCAGCCTTGCACAGCCATTCCCTGCCCTGACTGACACTCACTAGTGTGTACTGTGGCCTGGTCCTGGAGAAAGGCCTCCAGCCCTATGTTTCCTGTGCCCTGGTGGGTGCTAGGTAGCAGGCGATGCCACCTGTTGCAGCCCAGGTCTTCCAAGTGAGCAGGTACATTGGGCTGACCTCCATGTGCCGTCTGGTTTCTTCCTCTAAACCATTTGACTCAGCTCCCTCGTTTACCTGAAAGTGCAGTAGCCTGGTCCATGGGAGCCCCCAGGAGACACTTCTCACCTGAGAATGAAATGCTGCAGTCCTTGGAGTCTCCCAGAAGCCTTTCTGCATCTGTGAAGTACTCCCTCAGTGGTCCCCACTCCCACACATCTCCAAACCCCTCTTCCTTGAGCAATCCACAGGCTCCATGAAAGTGTGGGCCCTGGGCCTTGTCTTCTGGCAGTGCCCAGAAGTATAACCTGAGTAATTACTTTTGCTCTAGTCAGTGTCAGCTATGTTTGTAAGTGGCACAGTGGTCCAGCCTGCAGCAGTTCATAGGGGTGTAATTGTGACTTGTTATTGATTTGTGGTCTGACCTCAGAGTACATTGTCAGAACTGGGCCTCCTTAGTTGCTCATGCCTGTGGTCGATGGCATATCTAAATGCATATGGGGGGCAGTTAGGCCTTCAGGGGATGTCAAGTGCCATGTTGGAGGACGGAAAGCAGAGCATGTTGGACAACTGTCCTGGCCAAGCTTTGGCTACAAATGTCTGATAAAGTGGACACACTGGGGTGGACCTTTGAGGGGTTTCCTCAATATTGGAGCAACAAGGCCAGCAACATCTCATAGGTACTAAAACCACTCAGATAATACCTTCAGAACACTCTTCTCCATATCAGGGTCTACAGGGTATCATCAAAGGACTGTCGCCCATCCCCAGGTGTTGAAGTGGTTTGGCATATGGGAGTAACCCCTCCAATCTCCTTTTACCCCCGCCAAGACACATGAGAAAAGGGAAAAAAAGGGAAATTGGAGGCATTTGTTGCACCCACCCTCCTGCATGTCTTGACCATCCCCACCTAATCAGCATGCATCCTTGTCAACTATGTAAAGAACATGAAAACCAAAATTGAACAAAAAGAAATTATGTGCATTTATGGGTTATCATGTGGTGTTTTGATACATGCATTTAGAGTAAACATATTTATTTCCTTAAGCATTAGTATTTTTTTGGATAAAAACATTCACAAACCTGGATTCTAGCTTTATTTAAAATACACAGAAAATAATCTTGGGCTTGTGAATAAAGATGGCTCCCTCCTCCACTGAGAAAACCCAAAGGGGCTGTGGCTGTATGTGAGTGCCTGAGAAAGAGTCTTGAATACAGTAGTAGTACAGCCAGAACACAGCAGCATTCCAATACCCCAATACCACGCATAGCGCCGTAGAGGAAGGGGTGAAGCTGAGGCAGAGGTGTCTGATTCCTGGGCTCCACAGCCAGGAGGATTCCCTGCCACAGGGGAAAGTTGAGCAGGAGAGGCTTACTGGAGCCCATTTGCAGGAATCACTTACACAGGCTGGGATTAGAACCAACGCCCATATGGGATTCTAGTGCATTCAAGGCGAGGATTTTAGCTGCTAGGCCACCACGCCAGGCCCCAAAATTCCAAGTTTTAAAGACAATTGGTTATATAATTACGTAGCGGTAGTGTGAATGCCAAACTAGATGCACATCACGCATTTTTATGTTTACTTTAAGCCTACTGACTGTCAGAGTCATTTTTTTTTTAAAGATTTATTTTATTTTTATTACAAAGTCAGATACACAGAGAGGAGGAGAGACAGAGGGGAAGATCTCCCGTCTGATGATTCTGGCTGGTGCTGTGCTGATCCAAAGCCGATCCAAAGCCGAGAGCCAGGAACCTCTTTCCGGTCTCCCACATGGGTGCAGGGTCCCAAGGCATTGGGCCATCCTTGACTGCTTTCCCAGGTCATAGGCAGGGAGCTGGATTGGGAAGTGGAACTACCAGGATTAGAACAGGCATCCATATGGGATCCTGTAGCGTTCAAGGTGAAGACTTTAGCCTAGAGGCCACGCCGCTGGGCCCTGTCAGAGTCATCTTAACCCAGTGTTTTGAGCATGCAGAGTGCCACCATTACTCA